CACAGAATGATTGCTAAATAGGTGACTCCTTCAAAACAGATGAACAAAGTAATTAAATTAAGGTAAGAAATAAAACCTGAAAAAAAAGTTGGATGCCTTGCGCATGCTAATCAAGCCCTTTTTATGACTTGAGCAATGAAGGCTTAGGCTCTGTATATTTGATAAACAAAATCATTGTAATGATTGTCTGGAAATTCCCCTCAGCTCAGAAATGGAAAACCAGCAAGAGGCTACAAAGAAAATTTCCAAATGTCATCATGTAAAATTCATTGTGTTTTGACAGGGTATGTGGCCTTGTGTGCTCCTGCTCTAGTGTTCTGACAGAGGCACAGGATTCTGGCACATTCGACCTCTCTGTTATGATGTTTTATAAGAAGCGCTATGCATAACCTTTTATGCCTAATTTAATGGAAGTAAATTGTGGTTCTCTGGGAACAACCGATTGCTTGAAATATAACATTTTCCATTATGGTTCCAAAGTGCTTCTACGTTGTTTACGTCTTGATAAAGCATTTTCATTCTCAAGTTTCTCTGATCTAAAATGTTCATGCTGGCAGCATGACTCCAAAGAGCAGATCAATAGGTTCATTTAACTGTCAGTTAGAGCTGAGAATATAATTTGAGAATTTAAATGGTCAGATGAAAGCTTTTGATTCTGGAATCATGGCGTCTCACACAGTCAATAAAGGGTAATAGGCTTGTATTGGGATTGGCACCTTAAGGAATTTAACAATTCCCTTTCCATTAACAATTCTATGTAGTAGTTTTGCACACAAAAAAAATGGAGGGGGGGGGGGTGAATGTTACTCTATCTTTTTACAAGCTGTCATATCAACAACCATTTAGTAAGTGTACTGATTTAAATTATTAGTCTTAAGTATAACATGTAAGCTATGTGTGTTTAATTCAATAAAAAGAACCACGTTTGTTTGGGAATTGGCTGAAGAGTGTAATGATTCAGTCCACTGAAGGCGAGCATAGTGAGAACCCATGTGCAGTTTTATTTACAAGTGATCCAAACAATAAACGAAGACTTGACTAGACTTGACTTGACTTGAACAGACTTAACTAGGCATGAACAGACTTAACTCACCGACAGCAGATTACAACATCAATACACAACAAAGAACAATGGGAACATGAGGGCTATTTGTACCAAACAAAAAGGGTCACATGACACAAACCAACCAATGGACAAACAGAACTGAGTACCACATGACAAGACCATAAACCAATAAGCACAAGACACATGACTAAAACAACCAATCAGAACATAACACACAGACAAGGGAATGAATCAGTCCACTGAAGGCGAGCGTAGTGAGAACCCATGTGCAGTTTTATTTACAAGTGATCCAAACAATAAACGAAGACTTGACTAGACTTGACTTGACTTGAACAGACTTAACTAGGCATGAACAGACTTAACTCACCGACAGCAGATTACAACATCAATACACAACAAAGAACAATGGGAACATGAGGGCTATTTGTACCAAACAAAAAGGGTCACATGACACAAACCAACCAATGGACAAACAGAACTGAGTACCACATGACAAGACCATAAACCAATAAGCACAAGACACATGACTAAAACAACCAATCAGAACATAACACACAGACAAGGGAATCACATGACAGAACATGACTGAGGCTTAACTACAAAATAAAAGACATGAAAACAATGAACAAGAAACAATACCCAAACACCACATTACATTTCCCCCCTCTAAGGGCGGCTCCAGACGCCGAAACAAAATCCAAAAAGTCCAGGAGGGTGGTGGAGTGGAGGCGGAACTGGGGGAGGGACGGAGGGCCAGGCCCGTGAAGAGGAACAGGACCAGGAGTGTGGAGCAATGGCGGGCCTGGAGCTAAGAGCAGTGGTGGACCAGGATCATGGGGCAATGACAGACAATGGAGCAGAGGGGGACCTGGGCCGTGAAGCAGTGGCAGACTGTGGAACACTGGAGTACCTGGGCCACGGATCAGATCCATAGGAGCATGGAGCCATGGCGGAGCCAGCAGAGTGGGGAGCCATGGCGCTGCAGGCAGAGCGGGGAGCCATGGCAGAGCAGGCCGAGCGGGCAGCCATGGCGGAGCAGGCAGAGCAGGACGGCCGAGTGATGCCGGCAGAGCAGGGAGACATGGCGGAGCAGAGACATGGACAGACCACTTGACTCTGACAGAGCAGGCAGAGAATTCTTGAACGGCCTCCTTGGCCGTGGCAACACAGACTGTGAGTTCGTGAACGGCCTCCATGGCCGTGGCAGGACAGACAGTGAGCGGCCACATGAGCGGCCTCCTTGGCCGTAACAGGACAGACAGCGAGTTCATGAGCATCCTCCTTGGCCGTGACAGAGCAGACTGTGAATTCAGAAGCGGACGCCGCCACCTCTGGAGGCACTGGAGCAGATTCGTGGACAGGAGAGGCCTCTGAGGCCCGATTCTTGGACATGAGAGGCCTCTGGAGCAGACTCGTTGACAGAAGAGGCCTCTGGGGCAGACTCATGGACAGGAGAGGCCTCTGGAGCACAGTGTGAAGCCCATATGCTCAAAATGGCAACCGCCATCACGGGCAATGCAGTAGACAGTGGGATGCCTGGCGGGCTTGAGAGCGTAGGGGCCACTGGAATGTCAGCCGCTCGCACTGACATCAGTGGTGGGTCCATCACACTAGCAATCAGTCTTTTCAGTCCTCGCCCAAGCTTGGGTACTATAGCCCCCCCCCCCAAAAAAATCCTTTGGGGAAATCTTGGAGACAGCTGTGACATGGCGAGGCTCAGGCATGGCGGCCATCTTGTGATGAGACTCAGGTGTGGTGGCCATCTTGGCCGGGGACTCAGGTGTGGCATGAGCAGACTCTGAAATGGCGGCCATGGTGGGACGAGGCTCTGAAATGGTGGCCATGTCGTGACGAGACTCTGGACGGTCAGCTGCGACGTGACGAGACTCTTGAAGATTAGCTGAAACGTGACGAGACTATAGAAGGGAGGCCATTTTGTGAAGAGACTCTTGTGTGGCGGCCATCTTGCAACGAAGCTCTTCAATGAGCATATGAGCAATGAGCTCTTCATAGCATTGTTATTTCTACACCTTACTTTGAGACCAAAGAGAAGGCATCAGCACACACGGGCGGGCAGGGCACCAGTCTGACCATGTTGAGAAGAATCTCTTGAGGTGCCGGCATGATGTGAGCAAGCTCTGGCTTGGCAGACGTGACGTGAGGCAGACAAGACGTTAGCAGGCTTTGGTGTAGCAGACGTGACGTGAGCAGACTCTGGCTTGGCAGGCATGACGTGAGCAGACCCTGGAGTAGCAGGCGTGACGTGAACAACTCCAGACATGACGGTCGGGATGTGAAGAGGCTCTGGTGTGGTGAGCACTGTATTATTGCGGGGCTCTTATCCGCAAAACCCACAGTGTACGATAAGCCGCACAACAGCAGAGCATGATCAATGTATTGTTCCAGGGACCCGTTTATTTTTCCTCCAGGTAGCCGGGAACAAATGGGTTCATTTAATTCATTACGAAAAATGTCTTTGAGCTCCACGGCATTAAAATCCACATGGTTAGAAAGTTCAAGAAACTCAATAACATAGTCCTCAATAGCCTGATCACCTTGACGAAGGCGGAGGAAACTAACAACTGCTAGATTAATTTTAACGGTCGTGTATTCTGTAATGATTCAGTCCACTGAAGGCGAGCGTAGAGAGAACCCATGTGCAGTTTTATTTACAAGTGATCCAAACAATAAACAAAGACTTGACTAGACTTGACTTGAACAATGGGGACATGAGGGCTATTTGTACCAAACAAGAAGGGTCACATGACACAAACCAACCAATGGACAAACAAAACTGAGAACCACATGACAAGGCCATAAACGAATAAGCACAAGACACATGACTTAAACAACCAATCAGAACATAACACACAGAAAAGGGAGTCACATGACAGAACATGACTGAGGCCTAACTACAAAATAAAAGACATGAAAACAATGAAAAAGAAACAAAACCCAAACACCACATTACAAAGATAGTCATAATAAATGAGTTGGATTACACTGGTCAAGCTGTCAAGCCAATTTTTATTCACTTTTGATTAATAAAGAAATGGCACGTTAGAGACGTGTTTGGGAGTGGTCATGTTGTATCTTTTGATTTACTAAAACAAAATAGCCCATCACTTACGTATTACACTGGTCATGCTGTATAAGACTGATTAAAATATATATATATATATATATATATAGCCTAGCTCATTGGAGAATTGGATGGACTACAATGGTTGCAATGTATGAATTGAATTTACCAAAAAGAATGGACTAATATCGACTAATAATATAATAAGCTCATTAAAAAAAGCACTGGTATGAATGGAGTCTTCTCTGGAGTGTACTGTATATAATTTTTAAACAATTTTCATAAGTACTGGACATTTCTTTAGTGGTAAAACTTTTTAAATGAAACATTTACTATAAAATTACTATATTATAAAAAAATTATTAAGCGCACCTTTAAATTGTCAGGTGAAAGCTTGTAATTCTTAAGTCATGACACTAACCCATACAAGGCTAATCTTTAAATTAAGTTCCAAACGTAAGTTTGAGAGGAGCCTAACCATTCAGTCCTGTAAATCATCATTACGAGGGTATATAAGCAGCAGTCATTGTGCTGTCCCAGCGACAATTCTTCCATCATCCCTCCACCTCCCTTTCTCCTCCTCTATTTCTTTCATTCCTCCTTCACATCATACAATTATAGGGGGGTTCTAACTCAGAGCTCAAGCCGAGCCTCAGGTTCAAGCCTTCTTCGAGGATAGCAAGCCAAGTTTGTTAACTAGTCATTATGTCATTATTTAGCAGGACTGAATGGGCAGGCAAACTCGTGAACCACAACAAGAGTTACCCTGCTAGCAAGAATGCTTTCGCATTAACATAATCATCAGAAAGAAATAGCATATTTGGTCTTTGCATTGTTATTTCTACACCTTACTTTGAGACCAAAGAGAAGGCATCAGCACACACGGGCGGGCAGGGCACCAGTCTGACCAGCATGCTGTCTGCTGCTGCCTGGAAGTGCGCCTGTGCCACACGCTCCAACACGGAGGCCAGAGTGGCAGCATCACCTGCCTTTCCTCCAGGGTCGCCACCTCCGGAATCCAAGATATGACCTCCATGAATCACCAGGATGAGCAATTGTGTCCTGCACTTCCTCTGCAGGAGGGAGAAAGAGATGGAATTAGTAAAAACTGAGAGCATAATTCAATGTGATTAGAAGTGGGAAAATAAGGACTAACCACCATGTCTTCCAATCCATCCACACTGCTCTGTGGCGTGCATCGAGGCTGCCGCAGCCTGTACAGGCTCTCTAGTGGTCAATGAGAGACAGATAGAAATAGTGAGTGGTTGAACAGACTTTATGCTTCTCTGCAGTGAGGCAACAGTTTCTACCTCAAACCATCTGTCTTATTGATGACTGATGGGACAGTCGTATTCACTAAGAAGAAACCAGTATGGAATGATTAAAAAAAATCAGTCACTACCATATTGTTGAGCCAGTTTGGCTAAGTCTTCTTCATTACTGCATTCTCTCACTCTTTAAGGGCTTTTCACACTTGAAATAATTAACCCCATAATTATAAATAATTAAATCCAGGGTTATCTTACTTCATGCTTCATACTGCTTATAATTTAGCCAGGGTTAACAATAAATCCTGGCTATCCCAAAGAGGCACAAAATCGCTTTCACAGACTTTTAAATTAAATGTTCCCTACTGGTGGAATGACCTGCCCAACTCAATCGGAGCAGCTAATCTGAATTTTCAAGAATCGCCTAAAAAAACACATCTCTTCCATATTTATTTGACCCGCTAACTCTAGCACTCTCTATTCTAATTCTATTCTTTAAAAAAAACAAAAAAAAATGGCCCTTTTAGACTTGTACTTTATTCATTTACTAACTGCTTGTTTTCTTAAAAAAAAACACACTAGCTTTTCTAACCTTTTTGTATTCTATTTGTTTTCTTTTTATTTATTATACAATTAACAAAAGCAAAAAAGGCCTCTAACACTAGCTTGCTCTATTCTTTTTCTATTCTATCTGTTTTCTTTTTATTTATTATATAATTTAAAAGAAAAAAAAAACCTTGCTACGTGTACTGCATTAAGCTAACTGAGACTTGTTATAGCACTTGCACATCATTGCTCTTTTGTTGATTTTGATTGCTTCCATTGTCCTCATTTGTAAGTTGCTTTGGATAAAAGCGTCTGCTAAACGACTAAATGTAAATGTAAAATGTAAATATAATGCCGACTGTAATATAAAGTTTTACAGAATGAACTTTTCGGTCTATAACGTTGAAAGAATGAAATGGTCTCTTCTTGATTCCAAATCGCTTGTTTTCTCTCACTGTTTGGTTTTCCTCTTAATGCTTTACAAAAAAGATACGATTCATTTTAACGGTGTCATATGATTTTTTGACCACTCTTAGACCACTGAATCTCAGACTGCATTTCACACGTGCGTCTACGTTTGTCCACACTGGGATGCTAAGGTCATTACTACACTGTATCTTTACACCGCAAATAGTTGTTTGCTGATTATACTTTGACAAATCCTATATAGCAACTTTAAAGAATATTTGAACTGGTCCTGTCTGTATTATCCTTTATAAGTAAAGCACGCTTTGAAATCACTGACTTCATTTATATAGCCTACTGTACTTTATATGTAAGTGCAAATAATGTCCAGTAGATGTGGACATCTTAGAGTGGTTCAGGTATGACACCAGAACCCGGAAGTCTAATTCGCAGCTGGTTCCTTCCAGATTTTCCTATCGGGTTTTATTATGGTGTTTTTCAATTTATCAGTAAAATAAAATGTCTCCAGGTTACGTATGTAACCATGGTTCCCCGAAGGGAACGAGACGCTGTGTGGGAAATGCTATAGGAATGCCCCCAGCGTGCCCACGCTGTGAATCACATGTGTAATCAGTCCAATGGAAGGGCGAGACGTCATAGACGGGTGACGTAGCGACCAGGAAGCTATAAAAGCACATGAGGTGGAACATCATGTGCTTCTATAATATCATGAGCTTCTAGGAATGAAGAAAGCGCTGGAAGTACGGCCTTGAGACGCAGCGTCTCATTCCCTTCGGGGAACCATGATTACATACGTAACCTGGAGATGTTCCCCTTCAGGAACTCGAGCTGCGTCGGAAACGCTATGGGAACGAGAATGCCCACGCTGCCAGACTTGCAAATCCCTGTCTAGTGTGAAAGAGCACAGCTAAGACGAGAGAACAGAAGAGCCAGGAGTGGCTCGCATATCTAAGTCATAGAATCTGAGAAATGTGAGGGGCGTGGACCATCCCGCTGCGTTGCAGATGTCTTGCATAGACACACCTGCTAAGAAGGCCTTGGGGGCAGCCATACCTCGGGTCGAATGAGCCTTGACCCCCAAAGGCGAGGGGAGATCAGAGGACTCGTAGGCAATAGTAATGGCATCAACTATCCACCGACTGAGGGTCTGCTTCGTGGATGTAGCTCTGTGCAGTTAAGCTTCTGTTGGTCAGGCTCCCTGAAGGGAGGAGGACAAAAGGCCTGTAGCACGATAGGCTGTGGTGTAACAGAGGGAACCTTAGTGACATACCCCGCATGAGGGTAGAGAAACACTTTGGCCATGCCGGGCGCAAAGTCCAGATAAGAAGGGGCCACTGAGAGGGCCTGAAGATCCCCAACTCTTTTTAGAGAAGTAATAGCCAGAAGAAGGGCAGGCTTAATTGTCAGATAGCGATCAGAAATTTCTTCAATAGGCTCAAATGGAGACTTACTAAGAGCTTCCACAGCCAGGTCCCATGTCGGGACGTGAGATCGTACTGGGGGCCTCAGCCTCAGTGCACCGCAGAGGAAACGTGTAACTAGGGGGTGTCTGCCCACTGACTGGCTGGAGTGGGTCAACCTGCAGAGAGACGGGCCTGCAGGAACTCCAGTACTGTACCAACCGGGCAGTTAACTGGGTCCAGCTGGCGATCTCCGCACCAAGAAGTGAAAATTTCCACTTCAAGCATACAGTTTCCTCGTAGAGGGAGCTCTGGATTGGAGGATGGTCTCAACAACCTCGGTTGAGAGACCGGAAGCTACGAGTTGTGCCCCCTCAGAGGCTACACCCGTAACTTCCACTGCTCTGGGTGGGGGTGGAGAATCGTACCCTTCGCCTGTGAGAGGAGATCCCTCCTGATGGGAATCTCCCATGGAGAGCCGTCGAGAAGGGAAATCAGGTCCGAGAATCATACTCAGCCCGGCCACTACTAACTTCTAGCAGCAGACGGACCCCGTCCCGGCGCACTCTCTCCAGAACTCCAGAAAGGTGTACAGACGAAGCCTCGGCCACATCTGTACCATGGTATCCAGCCCCAGTGGAGCTGGATGAGTCAGAGAGGACCAGAGGGGACAATGCGATGTCTCTCGAGTAGCAAACAGGTCCACCTGAGCCTGGCCAAAAATTCTCCTTGTCTGCTTCACCACCTCGGGGTGAAGCCTCCATTCCCCGGGCCTCGGCCCCTGCCTCGACAGGACGTCTGCTCCCATATTCAGATGCCCAGGAATATGTACTGCTCTCAATGAAAGGATTTTGCCCTGGGACCACACAAGGATCTGGTGCACCAGCTTGCACAAAGGGTGTCCGGGAGGAAGTGCTTCAAAGCTCGAAATACGGCCAGCATCTCCAGGCAGTTGATGTGCCAGGTGAGATGGCGATCGCTCCACAGACCACGGCAGAGTGGCCACTCATGACCGCACCCCAGCCAGTGAGGGACGCATCTGTCTCTAGCGTTACGCGGCGACAAGGAACTCCCAGCACTGGGCCCTGAGACACGAACCAAGGTTTCCTCCACATGTCCAAGGCACGTAGGCATCGTCGCGTGACCTTGATCATGCGAAGCGGGTTTCCCCTCGGGGAGAATCCCCTGGTCTTGAGCCACCACTGTAGGGGTCTCATGTACAGCAGGCCAATAGGTATCACGTTGGACGCAGCTGCCATCAAACCCAATAGTTTCTGAAACTGCTTGACAGTGAGTGACTGGCCTTGTCTGACTCTCGCGACTGCAGTGAGGATCGACTCGATCCGAGCAGGAGACAATCGTGCCTGCATCGTGGTCGAATCCCACACCACGCCCAGATAAGTGGTCCTCTGTAATGGAGAAAGCGCACTTTTCTTGGCGTTTAGTCTCAACCCCAACCTTTTCATATGGGCGAGAATGACATCTCGATGTCATTCTCGCCTCTGCTCTGATTGAGCCAAAATCAACCAATCGCCGATATAATTTAGTATGCGGTTGCCCTGGAGTCGCAGTGGAGCTAGAGCAGCATCCACACACTTCGTGAAAGTGCGGGGTGAGAGTGCTAGGCCGAAAGGAAGAACTCAAAATTGGTAAGCTTCGCCCATGAAAGCAAACCTCAGGAACTTCCTGTGAGTGGGAAGGATGGAGACATGGAAGTAAGCATCTTTTAGATCTATCGTGACAAACCAGTCCTTGGACCTGATCTGAGACACAAAATGCTTGATAGTGAGCATCTTGAACTTCAGTCACATGACTGAGTGGTTTAACTGATGCAGATCTAAAATGGGACGCAACCCTCCATCCTTCTTTGGAACGATGAAGTACCGGCTGTAGAACCTGAACTCTCTGTCATGAGGAGGGACCACCTCGATGGCCTCCTTCCTCAAGAGGGTGTTTACTTTCTGTTCTAATATCAGAGCCTGCTCGGAACCCACCAATGTGGGAAATACCCCGTTGAATGGCGGCTGTGGAGCGCCGAACTGAATGCGATAGCCTTTTTCTACAGTCTGCAGGACCCAACGAGACACATTTGGCAGTAGTTTCCACGCTGCTAAATAGTCTACTAAGGGAACCAGTCTCTCGATGTACTTGGAGCTGCTAGCTTGGTGCCCTGAAGCGGAAGACCGGCAGGAGACGATCAAACTAACTGCTCTAGAGACCCCCGAAGGGGTGGCGAGCATCTCAGCTCCGCTACGTTTCCGGGCGGAAGACACTGATATGTGTGCTCGCTGGAGACTGCTGCGCCCTGGAACGCACTGCTCCCGCCCTGCTCCCGCCCAGCAGCCCCCAGAGCTAGAGAACGGCGAGGGAGAAACCACTGGAACACCGCAGCCTGTTTACGAATCTCCTGGTATCTGTCGACGACGGAATTGATGACGCCGCCGAACAGACCAGAAGGCGCAAGCGGGGCGTCCATGAGGAAGACCCTGTCTTTCTCCTTCATATCAGACAGGGTCAACCATAAATGTCTCTCCGCTGCCATGGACCGCTTAATGACACGGGATGTCTCCTTGGTGGCACAGAGAGA